CTTCAGAGCGCTCACTTAATCTTCAAGACGATGCGCCTCAAGCTTATTCAGCCCGAACGTTCGGAAGCAGTCAGCCAGACATACGAATTCAAGCGGGCCACTCCACGGCCCTTTCTTTACGTCTCTCTTCTGGGCCCCTGCGACGTGCCCAAGACCCCCTACCCAAGCTCTCGCCGCCCCAGAAGGAGTCTTCCAAGGGCCCAGTTTGAGAGGTCTGTTTGGATGCTTCCCTTTGATGTCCGCTCTGCTGTTCTTCCTACCTGGGTCCACAAGGGCGAACTGGGAGCCTTGGCATTCACCACGGAGCCCTCTGGAGCCTGCCGCCGAAGTGGCATATCCGCCACATGTTGTGCAAAAAGGATGGGTGGGGCTTCGTCGCCCCCCACCTCGAACTCGAGCAAGACATGGCCTCTCACTGACCACGGAACTTGTTCACTATCACTGGCCCTTGCGGCCATCTCGGGGCTGATTGGTCCTATCGGGCTGCCTGTGTGGACGGGACGTATGGGCGGAGGCGGAGGGGGATCAGCAGCAGCAGCAGCTTCCTCTCTCCTCCTCACCTCCTCCGAAAACTGTCCCACTTCGGCACCACCCTCAAGCGAAACCATTCTTAGCCCCTGGGCTCCAATGTTGTCTAAAACTCCTAGGTCCGCATAGTGGGCTTCTGCCCTGCTGATGTACCGACACAAGGAACGAGCAATCGATTGTATTCCTTTCGCCATGCGGCCTACCGCGGGATCTCTCCTGGCCAACATCGCACCTGCCTTCGCAAGGCGATCTGCCTCGTTGTTCCCTTCGTGCTCGAAGAGAGTGATCTTGCCCTCTCGCACATCAGCCATACTTGAGTGCGCAGCTACTTTCTTGAAGTCGACTCCTGGCGGGCTGCCTTCTTCGAAAGTCCTCCCCCAAACATGCGTTCTAAGAGTGGACTGCTTCGCCCCGCGCGGGTTCCAGCAGCTCGGAAGGGTACCTTTGCAGTCCGTAAACTGTGAAGCTGCCCACCAAGTTGCTGATGGCGGTCTGTATGGCGAAATCGTCACCATCTCGCGCAACTTGGTCAGGGCACTGGGTAGGGGGAACCACCCCGTACCAACCCGCCTGGTAGCGGATTTCCTTGCCAACAAATAACTACTCCACACCCAGCCACCCAGAAGGACGGACAAAAAACATCAAAGCCCGAGCCGTCATAGAAAACGTGCCCTTCTTGCAACGGTAACGGTGCCAGTAGAATCTCTACCTTGAACTCCCAGCTGGGATCCCAGAGTGGCCGAGAGAACGCTTGGCACGGGTCGGGTAGTATTCCTCGGGCGAAACGTTCCTGCAGCTCCACAGGGCACAACGCCAGGCGACTGACAGGCACAGCGAGCTCCTGGGCACAGCGAGCTCCTGAGAACAAATTCTCGCCTCCAACCATGACGCGCAGGAAAGCGAAAATGGCGGTGGAAAAGCGTGCCAAGCTCTTCCCCACAAATCAGGCACTGACTCGGCAACATTGCATCGTGCTCGTGCAGGCGGAACTGGGTCCAGTGCGAGCCCCAGGCCCCGAAGCACTCGCTGCTCCCTCACCCCCCCAAGTCCCGTCGTCCACCGCCCCTGGAGGAGGAGGAGGAGGAGGAGGAGGAGGAGGAGGAGGAGGAGGAGGAGGAGGAGGAGGAGGAGAGGAGGCGGAGGCGGAGGAGGAGGAGGAGGAGGAGGAGGAGGAGGAGGAGGAGGAGGATGGCGACATGAGACAGGATCGAGATTGTTGGACGTGTTCGGACGGAGAGCCTCGGATACTTCCGCCAGACACCCCCAGAGGCCTCCACAGGAGGGAGGGGAAACCGTTAAGCCATGCTAGGGTTGCCGGGGGGGGGGGGGGGCGGGCAATACGTTCTTGGAGTTTGCCAGGGGGGGCGGAGGCGGAGGAACAGGTGGAGTCCGTTCACCGTGGCGCAAGACATCACTCGTGCTATACCAGTAAGACTGTGCGCCCTTCGCGCTCGTTTGCATAGCCAGGCCGTGGCCATCGCCTGTCCGTCCCAGTCGACTGCTCAGCGCTTGCGTGGGCGCAGGCGCCGCGCTGCGAACAAACAGGCCTGCAAGCCCACACGACTCACCTGATCATACGAACGACCCTCTCGTATCACAAGGGAGACTCATCCTTGTCCGAACGACTCCTGGATTCGTAACACCAGGCTGTTTCTGGCCCACGTGCGCAGGCTGCCCCGCGGCCAACGCCTGTTCAGTCCCTGTCTGCTGCTCAGCCTCTCGTGGGTGCAGGGTCTGCGCACCTTGCCGCCAGCGCCCCGCGGGTCCACGTCCACCGCCGCTGGCTCGGGCGGGACACGTTCCGCTGCACCCGCGGCCTCGCTGCGCCTTGGGGACATGACCTGTCCGTTGCCCGCAGGGATACGGTCGAGAATTTTTGCTTAGCGCGTCGCCGCGGCGGCCCTGTGAGCGGAGGTTAACGACCAATGAGTCGAACCTGCCGTATGGTCCGCAGGCAGAGGACGGCAGGAAGAAAAGATGAGAACTCTTTCGTCCATGCGCCCGTTGGAGCAGGGGCGCTCAAGATGTCCAATACCTTGAGCCGAAAGCGATAGCAGGATAGATAGACAGAAGGCCCCAGCGACAGGCTGCTCGGCGGGGCGCGGGGCCGGGAAAGGCTCGGGACGTTGACGCCTGCGGACTGGGACGCGGGCGCCGTGCCGCGCCGTCGTGCCGCGGGCCAGGACCGGCGGCGCGGCACGCCAAGCCGACTAGACAAGAGCGCTCCACCACTCGCAGGACAATAACTGCTCGCAGATGGCCCGGCTCCGCCGAAGAAGGGATTCCGACACACTGCGGCGAGGCGAGCACGCCTTTTCTCTGACGCTCGCGAGCAGGCGCCGTGCGGGCAGTGGAACGCGCCCAGCGTCCAGCGCTCCCGACGGTACACGGCGGAGCCTGCCCACCCCTCGGTCCGAGAGCGCGAGGGCGCGCCCATCGCCCCTCGCACCCACGGGCAGCGGGCAGCGGGTGCCCTCACAAAGGGGGTCGCTGCGGAGGACGGTGCCAGGCGTCCGCGCGGCGGCTGTGAGAATTGATTCAACGAGATCAAACGAGATGTGAATGTTTCTCCACTGGACTCGGGTCTCTCCAGAACTACTGGAGAGCAGCAGTCAGACGCTATGCTAAGCTGCTGGGCCTGGGGCGCGGTAAGCGCCACCCTGATCCAAAATGCCTACTGCCGGGCATGGGGGGAGTCTGAAAACCAGGGCAGGACGCCAAAATGTTACGACGGATTTGGCAAATTAGCTCAACAGCCCGCCGGTGAATTCGTATCGTCGCCTGCCTGGCATTGCAGATAAATGGATACAGCCTCCGCCGCACCCAACCAACCTCCATTA